AGATATGTAAAATCTTCAATTTCGTTCGCAGTTTAGCAAATATGAGTAAATGACACTCAGTTGTCTAACATCTGTCTTTTTGTTGATACAGTTGTTATTCATGAAAATCTGGGACATTTCCAGGAATAAACGTGTGGAAAGGTGTTTTTCTTTATCAAGAACTTCGATACTTGTGTAATTCATAGAATGCTCTGTTGTGTTAACATGAGATGCTAGAGCGCATCTTTCAGGATGAAGCCTAGAATCACTTTTGTGTGATGTAATCCTTCCTTTAAGAGATCTGGAGGTCTGACCTATGTATATTTGGTTGCAGTTGTTGCAATTGATGGAGTAGACTGTGTTGGTTAAGCCAAGCAGCGAAACTTTGTCTTTCATTTTTGAAAAAATACAGTTTATAGTGAGGACGGATTTGCAAGCAATTCGAAAGTTCAAAGGACTACACAATCTGATCAGCTTAGGGGTCAGTTCCTTGATATAGGGCAGGACAGCAAAACCAGGTCTGGAGTCCGGGTTGGTGCTTGTACTGTTTGGATTGATGCTATTGTTGGGAATTACATCAGTTCCGTTATTAGGGGTTGTGCGACTATTACCTCGGTTTAACAATTTTTTACATAACATTCTGAAAATCACATCATCTAAAGTGATTTGGCAACGTTGGCACACGCCCACAATTCGTTCCATCTTTCTACACAGACATTGACAACCTTCGGCCTTCTGTCAAAGGGTTCATCTCACTCATTATTCCATGACCACCATTTTGTGCAATCATCAAGTGGCTTCACGATGTAATGCTTTAATGTTTTTAAATAATTTTTAATCCGTTTTTAACTTGTTCTTGTCATATTTTATATAATTTTGACCATTGTACCATCTATCCAGCTCTCACCATGTTACTGGACGTTTCCCTCATCCTATACGTAAACAACAATTAGCAACATCCTCACGTACTACTGTAAGTTGAGTCAATTTAAATTCATTTTAAACTATTGTTGCTACTGTTATCATTGTAATTGCAGCTCCTGATGACGATGGCAAAGTCCATTGAAAGCTAGAGAGAATTAAAAAAGTATAAAGAGTCCTCTTTGCTTAAATTTTGTCGAAGTACCCAACAAAAGGCGGAAGCTTTAATTTTTCACCTATATATATATATATATATATAATGTATACATATATAAAAAATAATGGGTAAAATCCGCAAAAAGAAGGAAAGTGGATTCAAGCAGAAAATATGATAGGTAACTCGAGCGATACATATTTTTGCTTGTTGGGTTCATCAGGCCCGAAATAAATGCACAAAAGTAGATACACATGGCCACACATCCGAAAAACGACGAAATGTCACGTAATACCCGTGCCGGAGCAAACTTACGCCCCAGGTCACAGGCGTGACAATAATCTTGTGTATATATCTATTTTTAATCTACGTGACGGACCTGTAACCACAGCCACCTCCTATTTTTCACGAAGTAGTCCGTTTTAGAGTCGTATAATCGTATAACGATTCTCGGTTACGTCCCAATCTGTCAATTCGTTACTTTTATAGGTCTTTAGGTTTTAGTATCCGCGTCCCGCCGTAGGTTTATTCCCTAATTTACATAGCGCGTTCAGGATAAATTGGAATGGAAATTGCCGAGGCCCGCCCAGATCGTACTGACTAAATCAAATTTAAAAACTAATAGATTTGCGGATAGGAGGAGGGGTTTTTCGGAAATTTGGATCAAATTGGTTATTTGATTATAGGTTTGAGCGTGTGGGATTGAGACAGTCGAGTAGAATAGGAAGTTTAAGGGCGGCGGGCACTAGCCACGATAATTCAAAGCTACGAGGGTTGTTTTATAAGTGGTATCGTGAGTGCGTCTAATAAATAGTCGAAGACGACGATATTTGCACTTGCACAAATAAATGAAAAAATATAATAATAAAGGTGTGGATAAAAGAATAAGTCAAATCTAGAATGAACAAATAATTACTCATTTTAATAACATCAAAGACAAATTCGCGCGGCTGGAACCATCCCCAGTAACCACCTCCTTGACTGAGAATTTGGATGGACCTTGAAATTTGCATATTTGTACGTAAAATTTTGGGAAATTTGAGCATTCCTTTTAAGATGTACCAAAAATTTAAAATAAGTTTGTTATGTTAGTAAGATATGATATTTTTGTCCTTTACTCTATGTAAAATATAATCTCTATCCAAAATCTATTTTCTTATTTTTCAAATTATAATTATAACGTTATAATTATAATATTAAAAAAACAATACATTAATTGACAAATAATTGTAGTAATACTTGAACGGCCCCAGGTACACTTTCACAATTCTCTTTGCCCCCCGAGCAGGCGCCCATGCTTCGAGCCCTAGAGATCCTAGATACGCCACTGGCGGAAGGTATAGACTCAACCTACTTTTAACGCAATTTCGTATCTTTGACATGACGCTAGGACACATATAGATAGACTTAGTAGTGAAACCTAAGACAAAAAATATCATACTTGAGCCCTAATGAATATCAGGAGTCACTTTCACCGCTACAATGGCAAACGCCCGCCGCAATGTATGTACATAACCCCACATAACGATTTCTTGATATATCATATTACCGTTTTGAGATAAATTCATTCTGTATCCGTGCACACCTCAAGATATAAGGAATTTCCAAAAAAAAATAAAGTGTTCCTTGCAAGACAAGATAAATTTGCACGCACCATTTTCCGCAGGTTTCCTTTATTCTTCCCGTAATCCAAAGGTGCAAATCACTACAAACACTCACAAACACTTATTCTGCATGCCACCAACACACACTGCCCGCTACGGCCGCGTTTTCTATTGGAAAATACTGAAAATAGCGCCTCCGAAGAGCCCGTGTAAAAAACCCGCGAAGACTGAAGAAATAATTTCAACATTGCACACCAGACGACAGACGTTTTTCCAAGAATTGGTCAACGTCTGAGTTCAGTTCTGGGAATTCTTCCAGGCAGGGGAGTATGCGTATTATTAAAGACAATTTCGTTTATTTGAACAATTAATTTCGCCGATATGAGGAATATTTATGTAGGTAATGTTTATAATCATGGTTCTCTATATAGAGAAATCATATTGTGGCATTCTTCGGTTAGAGAACATTTGCTCTGCTTCTATCCCAACTACTAGTTGACAGATTAACTAAATATAAGTTAAATGAAATAAATACTTATTATATAAAATTGTTATGAAATAAAAGACTGTCTCACAGTGTCAAGTAGGTTGACTCTGCATGTTTCTTGAAGGAGAATGGAATCTGTTGGATTTTCGTGGAATTATGTCATAGCCCAGTCATTGTTGGCAATGGAATCGGTCAAAATGCTAAGCCTGAGCTCAAATCCGATTTTTTTTAGTGGAAAATATAGCCCTTTTGAACCCAAAATTACCAGTGGGTAATTTTTTACCTTTAAAACCGGCACGGGCATTACGTATCATGAAAAGTGACATTTTGTCGTTTTTTGACATTTTGGTAGGTTTTTCTACAAGATGTTGACTTAGCACAAGCTGTTCTGAACTGTTTGGTAGCTGTACGTGTTATCTAAACGTCAGCTCACGGCCATCAAGGCGAGCAAACGTGGAATAAACTAGTCTGCAAGACGACGTTTAGTCGATTTTTTTGTCGTTTTTTACATAATACCCCTGCAGGAATAGTAAAATATATAATGTCTTCATAAACACTTATAATCGCTTATTGCGATGATGAAAGCTTTTTCTTTCTAAGGACCGGCCAGACTCCCCAAAGAGGAAACTGGGAAGAAAACAGAATGTAAGAACAAGTGTACGTACCCTTTAAATGTAGCAATATATCTTTCCTTCGAATCGTCGTCCTCGTAGCTTTTCGATGTTTTATTTTGCAAATAATGGCTGCTGCATCCTACGACCGCGCTGAACGGGCGTAGAAAAACGGAAACGTACAAATAAAAAAAGTCGTGCAAAGCAAAGGAAGTTAGCGCCGAGATTGGATTTGAGGTTTGTCTCTTTAGTGTCGTAGGTTTGCATTGCTCTCTTATTTACAGATGAGACCCTGCTTTAAGCACACATATAGATGTACTAGCTTTCTGCCCGTGGATTTGCGCACGTAGATTACGGAAATTATAGCGTTGTTCCAAGAGAACAATAATACCGTTCCAACAGAAACTGGCACTGGCAGTTCTTTGTTCGGCAAAAGGCCGTACTGATTCTGAACCGGTCCTGAACGGGTCGTAGTAGTTCTCGTTTCGAGAGAGAGAACAGAGCAGGTTCGAATTTAGAGAATAAATGAAGAATCTGCTATTCTGTAACATTTTATTCTTAACATAAATATATCCAAGCTAGATCTTTTGTATTTTGCCGTTTTTGCACACATCCAAAGAAATGGGCGACGATTACTTTGGAACAGATTGAAGTTAAGATGAAGGTGTTTCGCAAACTATAGGAGTTTCAAGAATCAGAAATGATAATCTCTTAGGGAAGTGCTCATAATTTCAATAAATTTGATAATAATAATTTGATAATCAGTAATCCTATACGTTTCTTTCAGAGTTAATAAATAGCTTAATACATCTTATTTCCTCCTTTGCTGTTCTAGCAGAGCATGCTTCCTGTAAAGGTAAGCTCTAAAAGAAAAGGCATACATTCGTACTTTTCCCTCGAAATACTTCACCAAGCAACTCATCTCTTATTTAATTGTTTCCCCATATTCTTTTAAAGGAAGTGCTAATAAACTCCCTCAAATTTCAGGTCTAGCAGACGGAAACTGCCCCGCAAGAAATCTAAATCTAATATGACTGAGTATAAGAAAATAATGGATTTTCTAGAAAGAGCTACAAATCTGAAACTGAAAGAAGAGGTGTACACATTGGGAAACTTATTGTCAGCGCCATCTCTTATACGGTAGGATAATTTTCAGTACTTGAATTCTACATGAATGGTTTCTTGATGCCAAGACCGAAATAGCGATTCCATTGTAGTCCAGTAGGAAAAAAGGCGTGGTCTGACTAAACCAAGATGGACGCTAAACCCGCCTTCTTTGAATGCAAAGACGCCCCTTTTATCATTGACTCTGCGATGTCTGCATCTGGTAACTGAACTTGTCTGTGCTTGTTTTGTGAGAGGTTATGTTTGTGTTAAACAACAAAACAAACGCAAAGCTGTTGAAAAGGCTTGAAAAGTAAGAATATTCAACGTACTATATATTTGTATATTGCGGGGATAAAGTGGGAATTTTGCAAAGGACTATATAACATGATTTATTTCCAGATGGACAGCCAGGTTACAATAAACGGCTATTTGGTCGACTTGGTAGATGATGCTTGGCGATCAGATACTCTGCCAGACGATGATATCAGTGTACCTACTTGGGAATTGCCAGATCCTGAAGCTGATACAGGAGATATACATTTAACATTGAGGGAACAAGAACAAAAATGGGGTGACATAATGCTAGTTAAACTTGGGGAACATCAGTAGTCTCGGTAGCTTGATAATTCTACAAAGTATGTCTTTAGATCTCTTTAAATGTGTAATTCTTTGAATAAACAATCATTTTTGTATAACTGTGATGTTACTAAAATTGGAGCTAATGAAGTCTTGTTGCCTTAAGTGCTTACACGTTAACGTTTGTCAGATAGTTGCGCTGGCCTGAGTAAAGATAACATGGCCACGTAAGACAACTATTATTATATTAAATATACTCTACTAGACACTAGAAGACTATCTGTAGCCAAATGTTTCTTAATATCGTTGAACACCGCAAATCAAGACTGGGAAACAAGCGCTTTGACGTATTAAAGGACTCCGTCGTTACCCCGGGATAGACATACATTTTGGCAGTTGATCTTGTCACCTAGATTACAGTGTTACCAGCTCATCGGACAATTTTGCTACCTCTGCTCTTTTGCTAGAATGTTATAAGAAAAAGAAGCTTTGAATAAAATATTGAGGGATGCCAATGGATATCTATAAAGTTTGAGGCATAGCAATGTTTACCAAAAAACTAAACATAAGCTGTTATTTACATTTTGCGTCGCCTGGTGTCTATGCGGCGGATCGTTAATGTCTCTGAACATGTTTATGAATGCCCATTTTTTTTTTTTTGGATAAAATACTTTTTAAATAGTTAAGGCAGCAGCGGCGGCCGCAGTAGTAGACTCTTCGGTCTCCTGATCAGTCGCCGCGCGCTGTGCGGGTTCGAGTCCCGTCCCAGGAGAAATTTTTCTCTTGGCTATGGATGTTGTGATTGTCCGTAGGTGGTAGATGGTCTCTGACTGTCGAACGCGGAGGTACCACCCGGCGGTTCTCGTAGGCGGAGCCAGAATGTGTGCATGTTGCATACACACGTGTTCCCTCGCCAGAGTCCGTGTGGCGTCCCCCCTTTCCCATGTGCTTAGGCCTTAGGCCTTCATGGTAGTTGGAATATAAAAAAAATAAATATATCAATATAATAAAACATTGTTTTTTTTTCAATTCTTGGAAGAAGTGTCCCGTATTCAAAAAGTATTTTATCCTATAAAACTGGTCATTTAAAAATGTTCAGAGACATTAACGTTACGCCGCATGGACACCAGGCTACGCAAAATGTAAATAACAGCTTTTATTTAGTTTTTTGGTAAACAATGCTACGCCTCAATTTTTATATATCTCCATTGCTATTCCTCAATATTTTATTCAAAACTTCTTTTTTTTTATAACATTCTATCAAAATAGCAGAGGTAGCTGAATTGTCCGATGAGCCGGCAACGCCGCAATCCAGGTGGCAAGAATGACAAGGTTATTTGTCAAGAGATGTCTATCCGGGGGTACGGACGGAGTCATTTAAAACGTCAAAGCAGCAGATTTCATTTGCATTTCTGTGTGTTGTGCAACAATTTCGACAAAAAACGGATAGTCTTCTTGAGTCTAGTAGAATACATTTCAACAGTTATCTTGCGAGGCCATGTTATCTTTACTCGGACAGGTTGCCCTGCCTACTTGCCTGGACATATTCTCAAAATGATTTTTTCGCGAGTCCACGGTGTAGCACAGTGCACTACCGGGAACCGATTCTCAAATTTTCGCAAAGGGGAAGACGGATGTGACGTCGTCCGAATGTCAAAAAATCACGTGGTACGGGTACCCGCCTATCGTCTGCGAGGTACTAGCAGGTGACAGGTCAATGTCATTTAAAAAAGGCATCTCAATTGAAAATTTGTCTTCGCAGTGCTGAAAATCGAGTTAAATTATTAAATCATAAATGGAGGAACACGTCCACCTGATTTTAAATGACGAGGGAGAAGGTCATCGAAGATATATGAACCGCACTTGTCATATCAATTGATTGATCTTATTGATATACATGTATATGTACATTGCACACAAAACGATCAGTCTTTTTATTTCAGATTCAAACAAGGCAGCTATGTTTATCAAGGAGCTTAAAGCAAACATTTTGCGCAACATGCGCCATCTAACCACTCCCGGTTTAACTTGAAACTGTCAAAACTTCGAGAGGAAGGGGAAATTCCATCTGTTCCCGCTCCGGTTCACTGCGGGATCTCGCGAAAAAATCTCTTTAGTTCCAGGAACTGGTTTAAAATATTGGCAACGCTGCAGATTGCACGACCTTCTGCGTCATCGTCGCTAGGCAACGTTGGATGAGCTTCGCTATCCAGCTGGTATCTCTTTCTAACGTATGTGCCTTACACACTTCTCGCGCTCCTCTCTCGTACACATTAAACTCGCGTCCTAAGGTCAAATTTGGTCCTCACCGTGTACTGATGAACGATTGTATTTACTATCGCCATACTGGATTGGGTTGGATGAAAAAACGATTCATGATGATATGCTCTTATATTTACTTAAATAGTTATTACATTTTAACTAATGTACAAGGCCTCTGCTTTCCAAGTTAGAATGTAAATATATAATACTGATAAAATCTAAAAATTATAAAAGTTGAAATGTCGCCACTTTGAAAGAAATAAAAAAAATGAAATTTCGAAATTTTATTAACCTTAGGTAGCAAGAACGGACAAATGACACAATCTTTTTTAAAAAATCTAGCAAGATTCACATAACCATGATATTACTCCTTTAATAAGGGTGGAGTATGAAATTATTTATTAGAAAACTCGATAGTTCATGTATGACTTGGTGAAATTTGACAAAGAAATTATGTTATTAATAAAACGTATCTAGACCGGGACCGGAAAAATGTTAAAAAGCCAATTTTAAAACTTCGTTCACTTACAATGAGCATCATTTTTTAACACCAATATTTTTTTTAAACTAATCTTAATGACGAATACATGTATTTTAAAATTTAAAGCTAAAAGTACTTTGTCTTTAACATATATTTGCAATATGTGTCTTTATATTTTATTAATGAATACGTTAAAATGTATTTTAGGGAGGGTAGAATCGTCACAAAGACATTGCAAATCAAAAAATGCATAAAATTATACCTGACTTACCCAGGTAAGATCAGCTAATCGTACATTGGTTTCAAATTAAATATACCAAAAAATTCAACCACCGACTCAAATATTTTTACAAAGTTATTGTATTTTTTCGAATAAAATATATTCAAAATGAGAACTTTAGATGATTTGAATCGGTGGTGTCATTTAACCTCAAGCAGAACTGACGATACATTGTTGTAATGGATAAATTATTATGATGAGAATCAAATTATAATTATAATAAAAGACTCTAAGATATGTTACTTTCGAAGATTGGCTATGCCCTAAGAAAACATTCAGTCTTACGTCATTCTAGTTATTTTAACATTTATACTAAAAACTGAAATACCACTGCTAAACCCTTATTTTATATCACAAAAGAAATCCTTGAAAGTGAAAGAACTTCGTTCTGAACGTACTCTTGATTATTTTTCAAAAAATGTTTCGTAATGTAACCAGTGGCTTAACTAAAAGGGGGGCGGTGGGAAAAGCACACTGCTCCTGCTATTTTCAACCTCTTTAAGGGATAAATAACGCTCTATTTCCACTCTAAAATTTAGAAATAAAAGCTGTGCATTTTTTCTCAGATAAGTACAAAAAGTCAAAAGCATATTCACTACGATTTTTTAACCACCAACACCACCACCAACCCCCCCCCCCCAAACCTAAGTTTTATATACGCCACTGAATGTAACAGAGATCTAACTGCAAAAATACAAAACCTAAACACAGCCATTTAAATGGCGTTACAAGCAAAATTCTGTTTTTGTACTACATGTAATTGAAAGGTAACATAAGGGGAATGTTCAGAAGTTTTTAAACGCTTGCAATCAGTGTTTGTCAATGTTACTATGCATTTGTGGATATAGAATATGGGCGTACGAAGAAACCTAGAAAAAGTCTACGTACAATATAGTTTGGTCAAATACTTCATTTGTTTTATACACTCTGTGTCTACATACAAAAATTACAAAAATATATAGTCACTGTCACTCCACTTCTTCTAGAAAGGGTTTTACTCTTTACATCTCATCTATAAAAACAGTTTTACGTTAGAAGTAAATATTATTATGAGCACGATCTACAAATTATTTCTACTTGATAGTTATATATAAATATGTATTGTATATAACATGTATATATCAAGAGATTAATGCTAAATATCAGTAAACTCCCACGAGCAATTGACAAATTATCCATACTTGAACAAAGTGTATAATACGATGATTAAATAATTTTTTTCACAACTAACCCGAGAAGTCGTCATTAATGACTGCAATGCCTCTCTTTTTCTCTCTTGGTAAATAATAAGAACAAAAGACATCTAGGAAAATAATGAATGCCATTTAAATAAATACAACAACAAAATAAGTAACCGAGTCACCTAACTGAACCATGTGCTCAGTATAAAAATTGTACCCTGGGTGAAGCTGCTCTTGCACACATGAATTGGATAACGAAACGCCACTGCTTGGCTCTTTCAAGCAAAAATACTCCTTAAAAACCGTACAGATACGAGGCCTGTAAATTAGGTGATGAGATTGGCAACGTAGCGTTCGATCTGGCAACACTGGAGCCACCGAGCTTGGAGGGGAGACAGGGGAAGACGAGATCCGCCTTCAGTACAAGTTTGACCTCGCTCGAGTCATTTGGTTGTCCGCAGAAATTTTGTTATTATATTCGGAAAATGAGAAGCATCAATTTCGAGTAAAGGTTTTTGCTTCAGACTTGGACAGAGTGCAAAGGAAACACTTAATTTACAGACCTCGTACAATGATATTGGCGATTGGAAGTTATACTCTAGTAAAGGTAGGTATTTTCATTTTTAATGCTCGAGATATTCATATGCATACTGAAAAAATAGGCAGAAATGTATTATTAGGCCTTTTATTTTGTAAAAATGGAAAAATGTCAATTACTCAAAATTTTATATGGTAAGCCCCAATATATAATCGCATATATGGATATTTTGTACCTGAAAAAAACATGCTCATTCAACATTTCTTAGATGAACTGAAAATGCGTCGTTTCCAACATATTTGAAAATATGATGAGCAAACTTGCCGAATTTTCTGTTTAGTATCAAGATATAGTCCTTTCACTGAAACAAAGCAGTTACTTCATATTTAGTAAGTTTGATTGCCAACCTTAATGCAAAATAGATCCTAGATTGGTACGTATAGTTTGAATTTTCCTGGTACATTTATTTTGTTCACTGTTGTGAGTTTGTCGCAACACCCGTTGTCAGGTAATTACACCAAAGGCTGTTGTTTATTTGTGTTTTATGTCATAGGATCTAGTAGTTTTAAGTAATGTGGCAACCATCCGCGTCACTGTCATTATTTGACCTTGTGATGTAACTGTTTTGATTCAGTGAATATACTGTACGTAAGACTAGTTTTTAATTAAAACTTTTACAAAACTTTGTGGTCGCCACTTGGACTATTACTAGTTTGCAATGAGAACAGTGAGCTTTGGAAAATATCGCCCTTGGTTTGGCGATTCGATGATAGATGGCTCTTCCGAGGCGGTGTTGCCAAACAGACATAAAATGTTTAGGGAGCGCTACATTTATACTGAGCTGAATAGTGTTCATTCTTTTCGCGGTTTCTGATGGTTACGTCAAAATTTATACGAAATAAGTAAGTATATCGTCTCAAGGCCAGGCTGTCTGGATCACGGGTAGTCATCTCAAATTCTTCGGTGATTGGTAAAATAAGCAATTAAAGGTTACCAAAAATTTGAAATTCAAGCTGACATTCCTCTTTTGTTGCCAAATTAATTTTTTTACACCGAGGTCGCGGCGCAGGTGGAAGCCTAAATGTTAGGGCACAAAAATGCTTTTAGTACGAGTAATGGTCAGTGCATTCATCCAAAAAGGTATTATCTGTCTGACAACACCATTTTTATCTATGACTAAGAACAGCACGTGTTTAAATGCGATCAGCTCTTTTGTGGACGCCATTGGGTTACATCTCTCTCTAATTTATTCACCTTGTCAAACCGTCTTCTGTTGATACTACCTACTCTTTGGAAAAGGCCTAACAGAACGTCACGTTCTTCGTGATTTTGGAATTCGTGAATCATCTCATCATTAAACATGTAATACATGTTAGATAATGCATTTGGAAGAAGTTGTCATAAAAATAAAAATAAAACAACCATCTAGCATCGAGCTATGCCTTATGACCTTGATAAAGAGTACTCAGGTAGTAGGTATATATATCTCGATATGCGATTCAAGGAGCACCCTAGCCCTATACCTATTATATACTCTCACTTTTTCTTACAGCGTATATGTCATTCAGATATTACCGGGTACGACCCTGGCCCTTAGTATCTTGATGGTTTGCTGGCTGACGGGTTCTGTAGGCGACTCTGAATCTGAGCTGGTACCGAACGGGAAGTTCGTACCTGCTTGAACGTTGGAGTTTGTTTCGGGTGGTGAAGGTACGATCTTGGAATAGGCCTTGTTTTGGAGAAGAGCGGAAGTTGAGGTGTTATCTAAAAAAAGAAAAGGAATTGTCAGACACTTTCTGTTTTTTTTAAGCACAATGTATTAAGATCGTACCCCGTTGTTTTGTAACAAGCCGAAGTCGAAGAGAAATGGTTCCTTTATGCAAATAAACCATTCGGAAATAGGTATTTTTTACACGCTGTTCGTAAATTGTTTGACGTATGTATTCGGAAATAGAACAAAGTAATCAGTCTGGAACGTCAAAAGTGCACTTTTCGTCCCGTGCTCAAATTTTTGGCTGATAGACTGCTCATTTTAATGGTTCGTGGTTTACTCTATTTGGTTATCAAAAAGTGCCCAGAAAAATCCATATTTTTTACGATGAATGGGTTACCTCGTATCCATAGCGTTTCTCATATTAAATAAAAAATAAAAACGTGGTTAGACATTACTGTGCTGTCATCAAGTGTCATTACACGACTTTGTAATAATTTAGGCGTTCTAGAAATAAAGTTGCACAGTATTCCAACGTGAAATTCCATTCTATTACTATGTACGTTATTACATTACGAAAGGCAAAGCCTTGAAATGAAAAAACTTACTCTTGTTTGACATCAATATTCTGACATCGGTGTCAATTCAAAAAATCAAAAAAAAGTTAAAAAAAATCAGCAGCAACGGCAATTAATTTTTCAATCGAGTGAACAATAATATAAACAAAGATCATTCAGAAGTATTTAGCCGTTCAAGCCCTTTTATTGACTATACTGTATATGTTTATTCCATGGGCGCCTGCAGACATTTTTCTTAGGGGACCTGCCCCAAATTTTTCTGAAGGAGGCCAAATCCTGAAAAATAATATCGCTCAAATGTTCACCACGACTGGATTTACAGACGTCCACGCGATAGTCGAATTTTTCAATGACATTTTGCAACATGGTCGGTTCTATGGCATTTATCTCGGCAATGATGTTGTTTTTGAGTTCTTGGAGGGTGGCTGGTTTGTTGACGTAGACTTTGCTTTTCAAATATCCCCATAAAAAGAAGTCCAAAGGAGTCAAATCGCAGGATCTTGGTGGCCATGGCACATTTCCTCTGCGCGAAATCACGCGATCACCGAAGGACTGCAATCGATGGATATTGACGTTGGTTGTGTGGCATGTTGCACCGTCTTGTTGGAAATATCCATTCCTTCAAGTTGCGGCAAAAAATAGTCCTCTGTCATCACGAGATATCGCTCAGAATTGACGGTAACGGCGTCCCCGGCCGCATTTTCGAAAAAGTAAGGTCCGATGATGCCTTTTGACCACAATGCACACCACACAGTCACTTTTTGAGGATGCATCGGCTGCTCTTGATACTCACGGGGATTTTCGTTCACCCAGATGCGGCAGTTTTGCTTGTTTACCGTCCCATTCACAGTGAAATGCGCTTCGTCACTGAACATGATTTTTGATGAAAAATTGGCATCAATTTGGCGGTGTTCAAGGAGCCAATCTGAGAACGTGCGGCGTGAAAAATGGTCGGCCCGATGCAGCTCTTGCGTCAATTGGATCTTGTAGACGTGTACATTCAAATCCTTGTGGAGAATGTGGAGCAAACTGGTTCTCGAAATGCCCAATTCTTGGGATCGACGCGTTGTTGATTGTTCCGGATCGTCTCTCACACTCTCCTTCACAACAGCAATATTTTCCGGTGTGCGAACGCTCCTTGCCCGGCCAGAGCCTGGCAGATTTGCCACAGAACCTGTTGCCTCGAATTTACGCACCAGACGACCGACGGTTGTTTCGTTTGGGCGGTTGTTGCGACCGAAATGTTCACGAAGCGCGCGAAACGTGTTTTTTATTTTTGCACCATTTTTGTAGTGCTCTTGAATAACTTTAATGCGGTCTTCAATCGAATACGACTCCATGGTAAACATTCAACTAACAAAATGACATGTCGGTGACAGAAAACAAAGATGGCGTCTATGTCAAATTGACGTTTACTTTCCTGCGTCCCTATTGGACAACCCTTTACTTAAGCAGCTAATTTCACTTAATATGAATTTAGATGGAAGCTCGTTTCCTAGGTAAATCGGGCGCGAAGATTTCGAATTCGATGCCAGTTCAGTGCTATGATTCACGCGTAGCCCCAGACCACTAGATTTACACCAATGTTTCACCTCAAATCCGGTCCGATGACAGTTTAGTTTGTTTCATTATAATACTCATATGCAGTGTCCCAAATTACCTTATTGTGTAAAGCTTCACTAAAATGTAGGTATCGATAATAAAACTGAGTTTTTAGCACCTTAGCACGCATAGTCGCTAAACAATTAGATAAATGGGATAAGATACATGAGAAACGACTTTGGATTTAGCGACCCATCATACGAACAATTGAGGTCATTGTAAACTTTTCTTGTCTAATTTATAGAATTATATAAGCCGAAGATGCGAACTATTTGTAGGTGTCAGTTGTCGGTGTTGTCATCTCTTTGCATTTCTTCTATCATGGTTTATACAGGATGCCGAGAAACCCCTGAGGGGACTATTGGTCTGCAGACTACAAACTTGGCAGACTATAATCATTCAAATAATGTTTCTCGAGAATCCAGTACTCAGCGATGTAATACAAGATTTTATTAAAAAAAGACGTAAATAATTTATTTCTCCAAACGAATTCTAGCTTGTATAACTTGTGCTTTGCAACTTTAACTTACATATCTTGTTTCCGTTGCCCAAGTTAACGTTGTCAATCTGGTATTTCCTTGCTAGAGCAACTAGCTGATCAACCGCCTCGTCGTCTTCCAAACTGGAGTAACTTCCGGTGGTGCCGTCTGAAGATCCTTTGGAACGTTTGTCCCCGGCGCTTTGTTCTACTTCTACCTCGTCCTCTTCATCTTCCTATAGAAAAAAACGGCGTTAAATAGGTTGGCGTCATGAATTTCTAAAGGATTGCATACGGGCAAGTTGATCCCTCTTAGGAAAAGCCGAACAACGCGTCGATAGTCCCCACAGATTTGACAACGCTGCGATCCAGCCTATCGCCTTACCGACAGTACCGACCACACAGCAACGTGGCAACCCAGCACGGCGTTGCATACATCTAATGTATATTCAGATAAGAGATAGACCGGATGTAAACAAAAGGTTCGGGTGATTTTCACGCTAACGCCGCCGTCTCGACGCAAAACAGGAGCCCTCATTGGTCAATTCGCAATTAAATGCCTATGCCGAGCGGCAGAGCAGTCGTATCAAGGCAGAGTCGCATTCAGGTTCAAACGTGTTACGTATGTCGTGTGCATCATTGCAATTTGATATTTCTTTGGACGTTTTCGTTTGTTATCTTATTAAGTTGTTGAGTTTGTCATTGTTATTGTTATACCTTGTTATTGATTGTTATTGTTATCAACTGCTTGCGCAAAATGCCCAGTAGTACAGATACTGCCGATGAAGTTGTAAACTCCTGTAGTCCACCTAGGAAACGCTCTAAAAAAAGACACCTGAGTGCAGTCATTTTGAATATATATAAGATCGAGCGCGAGGAGAACGAGGCATCAACCATCAAAGAAATTGTTGTGAAGGTTTCTCACAAAGTTGGGGTGTGTCGCGCATCAGTGTTTAATATGTTAAGACAATACAAAAAAAATCACACATTTTCTGAGCCAATGACCAGTAAACATCGCAAAAGTATTGTTAAATAATTGGATGAAGCTGATAAGCATGCCATTAGGAGGAAAGTGCATGAATTCTTCTTTAGGAATGAAATACCTACTATAGATAAAGTACTGCAGGAGGTAAATGGAGATACAACGTTGCCAAATTTCAAACGATCAACTTTCCATGCGTTACTGAAGCATTTAAATTTCAAATGGAAAAAACGGGGTCGTAATAGTTTACTACTGGATAGAGAAGAAATTGTGCTATGGAGGAGGGATTATTTAACAAAAATTGGGAAATATAGAAATCAAAACAGGAAGATTTATTACCTTGATGAAACGTGGGTAAACGCAGGACACACTACAAGTAAAGTATGGGTTGATGATTCTGTAACTTCATCCAAGAGGGCCTTTCTAGATGGACTGTACACCGGATTAAAAAATCCAGCAGGTAAATACGAGTAACAGACAACAATCGGATGTTTTTCAAACCTTGGGAACAAGGTTCTAAACATTAATTCCAGGGGGCAGATAAAACATATTACAAGTAACAAAACTTTTATAACTTTCGATAAAATGCGTGGATGTTTTATTGTCATTTTCATTTGTTAGAACTTTTTTAAGCCATGTTTTATGTGTTTTCGATATTTCAATAATTTTTTAATATAATCTTAAAATATGTCGAATGTTAAAAACTTAAAAAAAGTTACTAAGTTTTATATTGTGTACCGTTCCTAATATTTCTAATCATTTTAATTCATACTTTAAGCTTTATAAAGTTATAATTTGTTAATATTAATATTTGCGCGTATTTCAGGTTCCTGATCATTCATTTTTTAAAGGTTTATAACTTTAAATTAAATTGTGAAGCGCTGAGTAATCATACGACGTTCAATATTCTTTCTTTCAATATGACTAAATAATCCCAATTATAGCAATCTGATACTCATGTCTCAATGTTTTTTCGCTGAATGTGATGAAAACATTTAAAAAGGTTCGGTTATTGAAATAAATCTACACCAGTTAGTACTTCGATTTCCAGGTAAAGGGAAAAGGCTCATTATCTGCCATATTGGCAGTGAGGATGGATTTGTTGTTGACGGTCTGTGGTGCTTAGAGTCTAAGAAAACTGGAGATTACCACGAGGAAATGAATGGCGAATCGTTTGAACAGTGGTTTTCAAAAATTTTACCGAACTTAGAGGAAAACGCAGTAATTGTGTTGGATAATGCGCCTTATCATTCTCGAAGAATGGAGAAGGTCCCAACAACGGCTTCAAGGAAGGTTGATGTTCAAAATTGGCTCCGCTCGAAAAATATCAACTTTGAAGAAGCAATGCTGAAAGTACAATTATTAAGAATTGTCAAGGATCACAAGGCGGAATATCAAAAATACGCCATTGACGAAATGGCAGCAAGTCAAAATAAAACTGTGCTCCGTTTACCTCCATACCATTGCGAGCTCAATCCCATTGAGCTCATATGGGCAGAGGTTAAAAATTATATAGCTAAGCACAATACAACTTTTAAATTTTGTGACCTCAAAGGACTTTTCAATGAAGCACTAGAATTAATAACAGCGCAAAAATGGGAAAACTGTATTAAGCACGTGAAAGACAAAGTTGAAAAGAGAATGTGGGAACTGGACAATATTTTAGAGGAACAAGTCGAGCCATTCATTAATGACGTTGGTACTTCAGGCATTAGCGATGATGAAAGCTCATCAAGCTCATCTTTCCAATAAAAGATGTCGTTCATCAAATTCGGTAAGTTATAAGTAATTATAAAGCTACTGTATTTTTTAATTAATTATTGACATTTTTGAACCCATTTTGGCAAAACCTGTTCAAGAATCTACTTTTTGACAATGTTCAACCATGCACATTTTTTTACGTTTTGAACGTTTTAATTTGGTTACATATTTACCTAGAAATCAAAAAATATACTAATCAATATTCTAAAAGCAATTTTAAGAGATATACGATTATTTTTAATTTAGGCTAATTTAAACGCCATTTTGAGATTATATTCGACTGTATTTCACCAAACATCAGGCGGCATCCGAAGCTGGAAATCGAAGCGAAAATTTTGAAACCCTTATGTATATTTACATCATTATATATTTCTTACCCCACACCCACATGATCCTATATCCATCACCAATCGTATACACATCGAATTGTGCTAATTTACTACAAAGTTACGCAAAGCAGCATCTACTATCTAAAATATGTACTGCGTGACTCTTAATACGTCCCTGCCGAATGTTACAGCGTTCGATGATCACGTGGTCTTGTTTATGTCCGGTCTATCTCTTATCTGAATATACTGTATACTGTCATCATCATTCAGTGATTGAAAATTTGACATGCACCTACTAAGCACTAATAGGCATTGTTTGATAAATTTTTTTCTATATTTCTACCAGTGGTGTCCGAAGGGGTACACACTGGAGATTTTTCAAGTAAAATATGATACGCTTTGCGTACAACTTTTCTGAAAATGATCAGGATCCTCTAAATCGCCAAAAAATAATTTTTTCCGTTTTAACTTACTTTCGCTTGATGCTCATAATTTTCATTTTTTTTGCTTTAACCACCACGAAAGCCTAAGGCCTCAACACCCATGGTACCGTGGGAGATACAGGGGAGATATAATTCACATAAACTTATTATCACAAGATATAAAATCTTCCATTTCGATATAAATAGGTAATAGCTTTAGCTTCGAGATACGTCTCAACATTCCTTTACTACATCGCTATCACATTACCATTACCCTGTTTGCGAAAACTCTTATAAATCCCATCAAAAACTTTCCCGAATGCGGGTTTTTAACTTTAACGAAAAATTCCGTATCCGAGTCTAAAAACAGATCAGGCAAGGAAGTTAAAGTGAAAAGTTCCTCCCACTTTCTACACAACAGAAAATAGCCTTATCTTGTATACGTCCGTTTGCTATGCCGTCTTGCAGCATCACTCAATTAGGAAAATAAGCGTACAATTCTGAAGTTTTGACAATTTCTTACGTACCTACTCATTTTATTACTTATCTATACTAAGTGACATATAAATCCGAACACCCAGTTTAAATGGTTTCATTTTAATAAAAGTTGGTGAATGTATTTATCTTACTGTAAATAACAAGTGAAAAAATTTTCAGCCTTATCAATTGGACATTCCGGTTTTTATACTGCTTTTTTTTAATTCACTAACGCTCTAAAAATGAATATTTCAGCCGCAGTAAAGAATCAACGTTGGCGGATTTTGGTTCTTGACATCCTTTACGATCGGTTACGAACAGACCGTGAAGATCGCCGCCTAAGATTATTGGCCTTAAGGGACCGTTTCTCCACTACCAGGTCCATTGCAAATGAATGGTTTGCAGAACACGGAAGACCTATTGGCATGCGAAGTGTTTACCGACGAATGAGAAGTTTTGGCTTGTTTTCATACCGGCCACACTGGGTCCTCCCTTTAACTCGAGTGGTGCAAACAACGGTCACTCTGGGATCAGGAATGGAACAGTATTGTCTTTAGTGACGAGTCTCGATTGTGTTTAGGCATGCACGATGGTCGTGCCAGGGTTAGAAGGCGACGTGGTGAAAGGAGGAATCCACAGTTTTTTGTTGAAAGACATGTTCATCACACTGTTGGAGTTATGGTTTGGGGTGCTATAGCTTATGGTTCCAGGTCACCTTTAATCTTCATCAGAGGTAACATGAACGCGCAGCGTTATATCCACGAAGTTCTAGAACCCCATCTTTTACCCTATCTTGACACCCTGGTAGATCCAACTTTCCAACAGGATAATGCCCGACCACATGTTGCAAGAGTCACAATAGACTTCTTTCAACATAATGATGTCACATTGTTATCATGGCCACCAAGATCTCCCGACTTATCCCCAATTGAGCACGTGTGGGATATGATGGGTAGGAGATTGCTCAATTTGCAAAGTCCTCCTCAGACTTTAGAAGCACTTCGAGAGGAGTTGGTGGTTGCCTGGAATGAGATACCACAGGAGGACATTGACCACCTGATCAGAAGCATGCCTAGGCGCGTTGGAGAATGCGTAGCACATCAGGGTGCATCTACACATTATTAAAGGTCAAAGGGCTTTAAAGCAGTGCAATCATTTGGAATTTTTTTACTTATTATGCTTCATTAAGTACTTATACAAAATTTTATTAAAATAAAACCATTTAAACGGGTGTTCGGATTTATATGTCACCTAGTATATAAAAGTATAGCAATCTCAGATTTATATGTAGAGCTGGCAACGTTGCGGGATATTAATGCACAATCTGGCAACCATGTTACACCCTCAAAAAATGGCCGCTGACAACCATACAAGTCACCGCGTTGCCATTGAATAGCATAGAATTAATCCTTCTTCAGCGTATATGTTTTGTGATTCGCACATAGACTGCGGAGTAAGGGTAGCTGGGCCTTTTTGAATCCTGCCAAGGATCACACTGCCATCTTAGTCGAATTTGCAAAGGAAGTAGGATTCCGATCCGCTATGATCACTGACAAGGAGCTGACTCAAGTCCCGAATATAGTGAAAGACTGTGATCGAGGCAAGAAGGGGACTTGCGAAGCTTGTCCTGATTCCTATTATTGCAGAGTATTTGAATAGCGGTTCGATTTTCAATGTTTTTTAAGTGTTTTGCATTTGGTATATTTGATATCGTACCTCTTGTCCTTCGCTGCTCTCCTCACTGCTAGTGCTGCTAGTGCTGTTATCAGAACCAGTGCCGGAACTTTCTTCGCTAGCCTCTTCTTCCTCACTTTCGTTGTCATTGGCTTCTGTTGAAAGGCAGATCATTAGTAATGAATACCGAGAGGTGGCGGGGGAAGCAATGAAGAGGATTTTCATCCAGATATCGAATACAGATGAATAACATTTTAAATCAACGAAATAAAAAACTAATCTCTTGAATTCTTCAGTCCAACGCACAGTTTTCAACAAAAAAATAAAATATATCTCGCTGTATGGTGATATTGTCATATTAACGATGTTATGATCATGCGTAGAGGCGTTTTTTTTTTTTGAGCGAAAGCACTGCATCGGATTGAAAAACTCTAGCGATAAAATTTGCTTAAAAATGATTGGGAATTTCAAGAATAATTTAATTTAAGCGAAATCAGTGGCGTATCATCAATATATGCAGATGAAATTCCATACGAACGCCACTGGTGGAAATTAAAAAAGATGTGATACATTTTGATACATAGTACATGTCTGCCAAGTGGTATTACAGATATTAATAGTAAACGATTTATTAAGTTCAGGACATAAGAATTTTTCTTCTTAAAATGAACTCAAAAATCGTCCCCTTGAATATTGACATTTGATTATGAAACAACCTGTATAATATAGACATTAAACCATGAAATCTCTTACCAATTCTTATTTTTTCCAGAATCAGCGGGTAAAATTCTTTGGCCGTTGCGTTATTAGGTTCATATTGGAGAACTGCAAAAAATACGGTTAGAAGATATTAATTGATTAAAACGACTCATCACTTACTCAGTTTGCAATACTTCAGTGCTGTCGGGTAGTCCTTCAGCATTACCGCTGATAAGAACTGAAAAAATTTTAATCACGATTTATTTAATTATCTACAAGACATAAAACTAGGAAATGCAAACCACCGCAAATAAAAAATTATCACCTCATTGTGCGTTTGTAATTTTTCACTATACGACGAAAAGGTCGCACCGCTATTTGAGACTTTTCTTGTACATTTTGGAAATAACGTTAAGACAAGTCAATTTTGATTTATAGTGGGCGTCTTTTCATCTTTCAAGAAATGCATCTGAACACCATCATCGTTTGCACACAAAAAACTACTACTATTGCTACTGATACATTACCTCTGCAAGAAACTCAGTAGGAGCTGAGATGCTCTCATCGGCGTCTGTGTATTCGCTGAGGTCTTCGTTACTGCTGGAGTTCGGCTTGATTAGCACTCCTCCTCCTCCCCCTGAAGAAGGGAGGTTGCCGTTGTCCTCGGCAGACATGCCGCCTCCGGGGGGTGCCGTCTGACGAGCCTCCTGGTATGGACCTGGAACGACAACATAGCGTCAATTCGAGTAATCCATAAGGTGATTCGTGTCACGAATCTTTTCATCCACGCTAAATCGATGCAAATAAAATAATATATAGTAACTATCACCCCCTTCAATTCTTATTTTCGCAACTAAAGCTAGCCCACGTGCGTCACCAAGGTCTAATTTATATCGATGCTAAAATTGATCAAAGTCGGCTCAGCCGATTTGGCGTGAAATGTGAACAAACATACTCACTTCCGCATCTATAATAGAAAATGCAGTAAAGGCATGATGCAAATGCCCTATATATTCATATATTCTTAGTATTCTTAGTATTCTTAGTATTCTTAGTATTCTTAGTATTCTTAATATTCTTAGTATTCTTAGTATTCTTAGTATTCTTAGTATTCTTAGTATTCTTAGTATTCTTAGTATTCTTAGTATTCTTAGTATTCTTAGTATTCTTAGTATTCTTAGTATTCTTAGTATTCTTAGTATTCTTAGTATTCTTAGTATTCTTAGTATTCTTAGTACTCTTAGTATTCTTAGTATTCTTGGTTTTCCTGGTATTCTTCGTGTCCTCAGTATTCTATTTGACAGCGTTGCTGGACTTTACGTAGATTATCAAATATGCTATATTCCAAAGTCAAGTCAAATTAAATTTGGTAATACTTCATAGGTATCGTAAAAAAATATAGATACTCGTACGTCCCTCGATACTATAAGCCTCAGGATATAAAAGTGCCCAGTGAATAATGAATACTTCTGCAGCAAGGTATTTAATGCTTATGCGTGACCTATGTAGTAGTGCAAGTATCAAAAAGTAATCAGTGCCATACACGGGTCGATAAGTACAGGATTAAGAGGTAGGTTATACTTTTAATCTTAAATATGCATCTGACGGCGATTCATCATATGACTATGCACTTTCACCGGCTGTAACAGGCTCTGATTGATTTCTCCTCAGATGTGGTGATTTATGATGAAACTATTTATCCCGTCCAAGTGGTGCTTGCACGTTATATGTTAACTTTACGGACTGTTCCCATGCATTGAAATGATATATTCATTGTGAACCTAAGCACACAAATAACAAAACCTCAGAAACTCATGCATCCTGCAACTTAGTGTAATATTCAGATACATTTATGGCCCCCAGTAAGGGTGAGTCAGAGCATACGTAAAAGCTTATATTTGATGTATTTGTGTTTAACCATGTATTGTCAAACAGATGCTGCAGCCTAAATACCGTATCGTCAGTCGTTTCTACAATTATAGGACGCCTATATGGCCTCCTTGATTTTCATAGTTTTCTACTGTTCCAACGTATAAAGATACCCAATTGATAAATTATTTTACCATACTATGTAGTGGTAGTAGCCGTAGTAGTAATTTAACGAAAATTGGCCATATATTCCAAAATACCCAGTACAAACTCCCGAAACCATACATTGACAGAATGGCGAAGAACTGGCGCTTCTAAAAATCAACGTAAATACAGGGTGATCCATTTAAAAAAATACAAGATTATATAATTTATTATGTAGCTAAGAATAATTTTAGGTTGTAGCCTGTACAACTTTTTTCTGCAACTCTAATACTCGTAGTATAGAAGACATTGAGCTTTGACACACTATTTAACCACCGTGTATGGTACGCTTATAATGTTCTGTCAATATGCCTGTGACGGATTTGATTTTCTATGTAACAAATCTTTTTTATTTCAAAATGTAGGATGCATGAATGTCCAACCTCAAATGTTGATATAAAAAAATTCCTAAATATTTGATATTGTCCACGCTGTCAATTGTTAAATTTGTTTTGTTTATTCTGAAAAAAATATTTGAATAATCGGGTAAATATCTTGCGTACGAAGCGTACGGTGAAACTGCGTTTTTCCAAAGCTCACGGTTAATTTTCTAGTGTTGAAAAAATGAATGTATATAAAGTGATCTTATAACATATAATCATAAGTATGAAACACAAGTTGGTATTTGATATTGCGCATAGAAAAGGGTTCAAACTGTTCAAGCAGCAAACGTTAATGTTGAAGAGAATATCACTTTTTACATGTAGCAATTAGTAATTCCGCATATCACAGTGCAAAATTGCATCACATTGATTAAACAATGTAATTATTTCCACGAGTGCTAAAAATATGACTCGTGTTGGTGGTGATGTAATCCAATTGTTTTATTAAATAGCTGGCTCCTGTAAGTAATCAAATTCCACAAGTTTGAAATAATGTATACCTACAGATACAGGATGATTCGAAAAACGGCAATATTTCTAGATTAGAAAGTATAATCGTAAAAACAAAAAAGATCATATAAACATGCCCTTAAGAAACCCAATATCATGATACAGGATTTTGTAAATTTCTACGCCAGTAATGATACTAAATGAGGACAAAAGATGAATATTGTTCAAATAATACTGTGGAGAGAGAGTTAACCGAACCACTCTGTATATGTATACCAAATTTTCTCTGATAATAATGCTATCTAAGAACTATTTGAATTGAGGATTTTAATGGCCATAATATTTGAAAAAGCCGATTCTCTGCTCGTTTTAGGGAGTGGCAAGTCCACAACTGTTCCAAATCAAGAAGAATAATGATGACTTGTGTCATCTTTAAAACACCTATGACTATATGGAGCTGACTCATGCTCATTGAGACCAGTTCTTCTAAGACTTCATACACCTCATTTTCATATCTCAATAGAAATCTTTTTCCAATTCCACTATTTATACTTAAATACCCATGGGTATGGTGAGGCTATATGAAGCGTCAGATAAAAACGGTGTTGACTTTTTTACTTTTTAGCGAGGAGATATGTGAAATGCACATATTCTGCCGCAGCCTCAAATATCCGCCGGGTGGTACCTCCACCTTCCACAGTCTGAGACCACCTCAATTTCTACCATTATGCGACTGAGTGAACCTTGAAACGCGTATCACCACCCTGAACAACCCTTTTAACATTATCGGTGTCCATTTTGCGTGTGGACCGCCTAATGGCCTTCATTGCGACGCCAGGGTGATAAATTACCCAGTTAGTGAATAACGACGGATAACGCAAAAAACTACCGCTGGATGACACCCTCACAAAGCAGTGCCAACGTTGATGGACGCCCGTTGTTAAATACAAGCCCAGAGAGAATTTTTAATTTTCAATTTTCGACGTGGAAGCCGCGGATGTGTGTCCGCGTTAATGATTAATCAGGAAGAACGATGTTTTTTGTGCTTTTTAGATATGAACAAATGTGGCTGTGGACATTTCCAGTAATCAGGAAAAAGCTTCACTCGAATAAGTATACGAATTCAACTATCTATATATTTGAAGAAATAACTTTTTTGCCAAAAAGAACGCTCCAATAGCTATTTTCAACAACAAAATGATAAACAATGGGCGTAGTGGAGAAAAGCATTTATTAGGTAAATTCTTTTAGTCAAATTTCTTCTGAAAGTAGTACAAACTAATCTGATGTACCTATTAAAGTCTACTTTAAGCTTTAAGTCAATAAATCTTCAAAACTACTGAACTGAAGCTCATCTATTTTACATTGTTATCAAGGGAATTGAAAGACCTTTAAAATAAGGTATCACTCGACCCCCTTTCCATTTAAGACTTTAGGGTTGGTGTCACCCCCGCCCAGGGGGCTGCACGTGTTAACGTGATTTTTTGCCAAACGTGTGTCCCCTTCGAAAATAAAATCGGCGGGTCTGAGCGTTTTTCCAAAAGAAAAAACTGAGGTGCCTGTAAATGCGTCTGTTTCGTTTTCGATGCACCACCCCGTATATAAAATTACTCAGTCATGCATAAACAGGCAAACAAGTGCTGACTCTCGATATGTTTGGAGCGATTACGCCGGAATAAAATGCCCGTACACAGTTCAGTAATCTTTTACATACGCCTGAAATGCCAGCGTGACGAGTCGGAAATTGTGCATATGAAATTCTGGATTGTTGAGATGTATTTGCGCTAAAATACGTGCTTTGATTATTTTGTGGAAGGGAGATTACGGTGCATTACTTCGAGTTAGGTGACTTGGTGGTTCAGCGCTAAAATACAAATTACCATTCAAAAAATTGCTTGGTTAGTGAAATCAGGTCGTTGCTCAGTGATGTAGCTTATCAAATAAACTCAAATAAAAAGATTAATTCTGTGATACTCCAGAATTTGTCGATGATGGTATTCAAATTCAGCGCCGTAAATTACTTAAGTAAAGAGTTGTCCAATAGGGACGCAGGAAAGTGAACGTCAATTTGACATAGACGCCATCTTTGTTTTCTGTCACCGACATGTCATTTTGTTAGTTGAATGCTTACCATTGATCGCTATGGAGTCGTATTCGATTAAAGACCGCATTAAAGTTATTCAAGAGCACTACGAAAATGGTGCAAAAATAAAAAACACGTTTCGCGCGCTTCGTGAACATTTCGGTCGCAACAACCGCCCAAACGAAACAACCGTCGGTCGTCTGGTGCGTAAATTCGAGGCAACAAGTTCTGTGGCAGATCTGCCAGGCTCTGGCCGGCCAAGGAGCGTTCGCACACCGGAAAATATTGCTGTTGTGAAGGAGAGTGTGAGAGACGATCCGAAACAATCAACAACGCGTCGATCCCAAGAATTGAGCATTTCGAGAACCAGTTTGCTATTCTCCACAAGGATTTGAATGTACACGCCTACAAGATCCAATTGACGCAAGAGCTGCGTCGGGCCGACCATTTTTCGCGCCGAACGTTCTCAGATTGGCTCCTTGAACACCGCCAAATTAATGCCAATTTTTCATCAAAAATCATGTTCAGCGACGAAGCGCATTTCACTTTGAGTGGGACGGTAAACAAGCAAAACTGCCGCATCTGGGCGAACGAAAATCCCGGTGAGTATCAAGAGCAGCCGATGCATCCTCAAAAAGTCACTGTGTGGTGTTCATTGTGGTCAAAAGGCATCATCGGACCTTACTTTTTCGAAAATGCGGCCGGGGACGCCGTTACCGTCAATTCTGAGCGATATCTCGTGATGATAGAGGACTATTTTTTGCCGCAACTTGAAGGAATGTATATGGACGA